TATGAAGGGAGTTCTAGCTTAGTTGGGACCAACAACCAAGCCAAAGTTCTAGAAAATCTTTCTATTGGCATTGAGACTATTTCTGCCAATTTTGAAAAAAATATGTAACCTAATGGAGAAAAGAGAGAGAAAGAGACGGAGAGAGGGATATTTGGGATGCTATAAAAGAGATACCAAATTTGGATGACAATACTCGTTACATGGCGGGTGAATTGCTTAGTAATAAAGCAAAGAAGGAATTGTTCTTGAAGATGTCATTGGAAGAGCGCTCAACTTGGATAAAATTCAAGTTAGGATGATTTTAGTATTTTGATCATCTTGGGTTTTGTTGAACTATATTTTTGTTTGTGCTATTTTGCTTCTACTTTGGTTGAACTGTTTGGGTTATAATTTGGTTGAACTATTGTTATTGTAATTTGGTTAAACTATTTTGGTACTTTGATTGAACTATTTGGGTTATAATTTGGTTGAACTATTGTGACAGCTTTTACTTTTTTTATTTGGTTAAACTATTTTAACAGTAGCTTCACATACAAAAAAAAAAAAAAAAGTAAAAGTTGTCACAATAGTTTGTCACAATAATTTGGTTGAACTATTGTGACAGCTTTTATATTGTTGGTAAACATTGACAACTTTTACTTTTTTTTTTTTAATGTAATTATTGAAATTGGTACTTAGGTGACGATGGGTAAATTTAATCACACAAACAAGACACAACAACACAGCAATCTTCACACACTTTAAACCTTAACCAAATACACATATGACTAGTCAACTGCTAGTCATGAACAACCACAATCAAGAGAACACACAGAGCATGCCACAAAGTTCCTACAACCCTAGAAGATTACTAGCGACAACCTAGGCACTCAGAAGGACCTGTCAATCTAGGCATCCCCTGTGCTAGCAACAACTGTGGTGAAAGTGTGTGAAATCATCATTATCATGTAAACATCAAGCAGCAGATAAAGATGACTAGTCAACCACCAAGAACACAAACCCAGAAAAATTACAGATATGCAAAACAGATTTTGTTCACCTAGAAACCCACCATTGGGAAAAACTGAGAGTCATCAACCGACCAGGCACTCCACTAAGTAGAAAAAGATTCTTACAAAGGAAACACAACCAAGCTCAAGAAGCACCTAGGTTTATTTAGGAATATTAGCAATACCTCCTTTGTGAAATCTTCTTCTCCAACTTAGCAAAACTTGAAGCTCAGTTCTTCATGGCAATGACAGCTCCTTCTCCAGCTCGTTCATCCCATGGCACTAGCTTGCAAGCTGCAACACAGATCGAAACCAATATTTGAATTCAAAGGAGAATGACCAATTTCTTCAAGAAACCATACTCTTGAAGAAATCAGTCTTGAATCTGACCTAGATATAAATGAGAGATGATTTAAATAGCTAGATGCAGATTCGGGTTTCAAAAGTAGTTTTTCAAAAAGAAATCAATTGGAAAAACTCATAGATGAAATAAGATGGTTCTCTCGAGGAAGAAGAAGCGAAAGATGGCAAGCCAAACTTTCCAAAACTTCCACCCAAAAGAGACGACTGCCAAATGACCAAAATCGTAGACTTTACAGACCAAAAAATTCCTTAGGTCAGAAACCCACGTGGCAGCAGAGAGAGAGAGAGAAAGAAGAATAGGACAAAACAGTTTGCTATCCAGCTGGAAATCCTATAGAGCAAGGATGACTAGTCATCATTTTTATGAAGACTGTTTTATGAAATGATATGAAATGCACAATACCTTTGTCAACTTGCTTAAACCTCCATAGAGTAGAAGTTAGAGAAGAGCACCAAGAAAGGTTTTCCTTAATCTAAACTTGAGCATGATAAATAACAAAACACATCCTATTACAAAGTTGTCAAGGGAAGCCAAAAGAAAATAGTAAAAACCATACATTAACAATCTCCTCCTTTTTGGCTTTCCTTGACAACACTCTCTAAGAACACTCAACCCAAAACCGAAACTAAGGAGATAATGGAGTGAAAGTACCTGCAAGAACAACCAATCTCCTAGGCACAAAAACAAGCATATTATCACATAAATTTTAAAACAATATGCAATGTGGGGTTGAGAGTGTTCTCCCCCTTGTTGATAAGGAAAGTGCAAAAAGGCAGAGAGATAGAAACAGCATACAAAAGGGTTTAACCACAAAAGGATAGGCAGATATGAACAAGGTTAACAGCACATAACTTAGATTGATGACCAGTCAAATAACAGTTGTTTAAAACAGTACAGAACATAGATTTATGACTAGTCAAATACCAGTTGTTCAAAACAGGATAGAACAACTCCCCCTATCAAAATGCACAGACTAACCACAATGTGATTACAAAATAACTCCCTTAACGAAATGCACAGACTACCCACAATGTGATTACAAAATAACTCCCACTATCAAAATGCACAACCTGTCTAGAATTACACTTCCTATCTAGAACACAGCCAAGAACAACATCATAGCTAAAAAAACCAAAGAACCACCAGAATCCACAGAGTCATCCGAGTTCTCAGCTACAAGAGACGTCAGAGGATCTACATCAGCAGCAGCAGCAGCAGCTGCGGTGGCAAGAGTCGAAGAGGACGGAATGAGGCTCAAAAGATGCTGAATATACTCCTCCTTGGCAGCCAGTTGAGATCTAAGAGAGGCACTCTCAGAGGAAGACGACACAAAGGTGAGAAAGGTTCTGGAAACCTTCTGGCTAAGGGCAGCAGAGGCCTTGCCATACGGAGTAATGGGAGGATGCCACTGATCGGACTCATGAAATACCACCCTGTTTCTCTCACAGAGACGCTGGATTAGACAAGGGAAAACAAGAGTCCCCTTGTGCTTAGTACCATTTCCTATGGTTTTGCCAAGAATGACATGATAAAGAATATCCCCAAGGGGAATTTTATCATGATTCATCATGGAAATCATGAGTTGACAGGCAGCAAGAGTGGGATTAGAATTGTTCCCAGTGGGGAGAACATTATGACGGATAAAATCCCACAAAAATTTATAAAAAGGTGACAGGTAAGACTTGATAGGCAGACCCTTAGAAGTCAAAGGCATGGATTGATCAGTGTAGGCCATAGATTTAAAAAGATCAATAGAGTAATCAGCAGAAGCAACAGCAAATTTTGCATAATCAAAACCAGGGCACGATCGAAAACCTAAGACCCGATTGATAACAGATGGTCTCAGAGTAATGGGGACTGACCTAACAATAATCTGAAACTTTGACTCCTTAGGGTCAACAGGAAAGTTAGAGTAAAACTCTTGAATTACAGAGGCATTAAACTTACCAGAGAGAGAGTTTAGGGCATGAAGGTGGTAGTGCTCCAATATTTGATTTGCAAACTCCTGAGCCGCCAAATGAACAGCATCAAACTGGTAAGACCTCTCAGGAACAAATTTCCTCTTTGAGACAACCTCATCAAAGAAGGAGGCAGCCTCAGAAGACACAAATGGAGAGGAATCTCCAACAGGAACAGAGGAAGAGGGACGGGTTCTATGAGCCATAGGAATTGATGGAATGAAATCCACTATGTCAGTGGATTTTGATTTAGAGCGACGGTGGTAAGTGAGGAGAGGCTTTGAGGAAGACATGGCTAGCAGTGGAAAGAAAACAAATGGAAGAAGGGGTGAAGAGACCAGAACAGAGTGAGAGGGAGAGAAAAGTCTGAAAGAAGCAAACAGAATGGAAGAGAAGGAGGAATTTGTGACTGAACTCGAGACTGACGAGAACAGAGAGAGGAAGAGACAGACGAGACTGACGAAGGAGAGGGAAACTAACCTAAAAAAAAGGAAAAAACGCAAACGACACGACCCTAAAAAAAAGTACCGTTCAAAACAAAAAAACAAAAAAATAAAAAATAACCGCCAAAACAAAAAATGAAAAAGACACATTGGTCAGGAGACAAAGCAGATGAAAAGTCAACCACAAGAAAGATGACTAGTCAACTCAGGCAAAATTGGCACAGGCAGAACTGGATGACTAGTCAACCACAAATATAATGACTAATCAACTAAGGCAATAGCAGAACGAGCATCAAATGCAAAACACCCAGATGACTAGGCAACCATAAGCATAGATGACTAGTCAACTAAAACAACATTATGACAAACACCAAATAATATTGACCCTGTGAAAGACATGATTTTGGTTTCTAAAAACACAAGCATGAACTAGCACATATATCAAGTGATCAAAGTTGCATTAGCACAATAGCCTAGACCAAGTCTTCAACACATGAAAGAAAGTGAATGAAAAGGAAGAAAAGATTAAAACCATATGTAGTGTACATAGACAATCAACTCTGAGAGATAGACAATGAGATGTAATTCATGCTCAGAGACAAGGCATATTTAGGAAAGAAGGAGGTTTAGAGCCAAGGGACACAAGAGATGATATCTTATCTCTCTTGGAGAAACACGTATACAATGCATTCTTAAGACATGATCATAGTATGGGCTCACAGCAAAATATCATCACTCTCTATTGACAAAATATTTGATGATTTATTTTGTATTACTTGCACATCCCGAACATAAGTGCTTTGAATGGCCCAATTTTACGGCTCTTTGCTCTAGATTCTTCAATCAAACCACCTTATACCTTCCTAGAGCCGTGACTACATTGGTCACACTTCCCCCTTTTTTTTTGTTTAAATTTTAAATAGATTGGCTAAGAGAGTGAGACCAGCTAAGAGATAATAACATGAACAGTCCAAAATGAAGCAGAGAAACATGGCTCACCAAGAGGACAAGATAACATGATTTAAGTCTCATCTAATAGCATCTTAAACAAGAAAAAGGATTATGCACAAGTCAGACAAATCACAAAAGCATTCAACATTCACACCATCAGAAATGAGAGATATGAACATTGACATTTCAACATCAAAACATAACAAAATTTTTTTTGACTTGACTAGGCAACTACAAGCAAGATGACTAGTCAATTGTTTTGGAATGTGCTGAAGACAAGGAACAGACCAGCTAATCAATCAATTGAGCAAAAGCCAATGGACTGCCGAAGTGTAACATGTTTCTGAAAGTCCAAGGCCTTGGTGAGTATATCTGCTAGCTGTTTTTCAAAGGGAACAAATTTCAAAGATAAAATTTTGTCTTCCACAAGATCTCTAAAATTCACATGTCGAAGCCATTGATGCCACAAAACACTTGTTTCATTTACAACCTTGTTGCAAACTACTTCTTTTGCATCATTGACACCATCAATGCAATAGCAATTGTCCCTAGACCTTGCAACGCTCATAATCTCATTGCCACCTTTTCCAATGATTTTGCAGCCATGCTTGGAGAATCTAACTTCTACTATTCCATCATCACACAGCTGACTCACATTAATGAGATTGGATGTGAGACCCTCAACAAATCTAACATTCTTAAGCTCGGGTAAACTAGGGATACAAACAGTACCTTTTCCAACAACTTGAGACCTATGACCTCCACCAAAAGTCACAGTGCCTCCATCAAAGAGGCTGAGAGATGAGAAAACATTCTTATCCCCAGAGATATGTTTGGAACAACCACTATCAAAATACCAAGAGTTGGTGTTTGAAGCAGCAAAAGCATTTAGTACAACAAGAGATTTGGTATGACCTCTTGCAATCCAAGTAGACTTAGGCACAATGGGAGAACTCATTTTGAGGGACACAAGTTTGGCAATCTTTGTTACTTCATTCAGCAAATGATCAACTTGATCTTGCAAAGATCTGGGATTCCTTTTAGATTTTGAAGACAATTTTCTGGTCATATCTTTGCTATACATATGACAGACTGGTCGAATATGACCAGTCAAGCCACACCTGTGACAAGTTGGAACACACCTAGG